TTTCATATGATGAAAACGAGCAATTTTTATCTATGGTTTATTGCGAACTGCAGTTGAAGATTTCTTATTAATTTTCATTAAACGCCATTATTAATATTATGCCAAACATTTTTTGTATCAAAACGATAACATAACACAAACGGCAATAACGCAAATTTGTATTATTTCCCAATTGAATGTGAAATAATACAAATTTGCTTTATTTCATTTCTCGTCGGGCAATAAGACCAACTTTTAAACTTAACAATTGAGTAATAAAGCAAAATAGTGCACATAGGCAGTAGTGTTGCCAAATTTTTTTCCAGCCATACGGGACAAAGCATAATTTGTCCAAAAAATACGGGATTTACAAACATTTATTGGAACAAATAAGAAATAATGGATTTGCTTTAAAATCCCAACTACGAACCATATTTTAACAAAGGTGGTCCATTTCAACGAAGTGTTGCTTAGATTAGTTATAAGCTTATGATAAATTTCGTTTATTCCATGGCAACCCTTTTTAATTTATACATAAATATGTATATGGTGTTGCGCATTTTCTTCCATTTAAGAGTCAGTTTTCTTCATGCATTATAGGGAAGAAAATTCGCAATAACCTCCACAAAAAAAAAAAAAAAAAATTATAAACAAGTATAAGTTCGGGCCCAGCCGAACATTAGATACCCGACGCAAGTATTAAATATAGTTTTTTCACCTTTCCGAAAACTACCGCTACGTGATTTCAAAGATCTTCGATAAACTTATACAGTTATATGTGGGCGGTATCACGCCCATCTTCCAAAATTCAATAATAATGTCACTTATCTTCAAGGCATTGTTGTTATTATAAATTTAGCGTAAATTAGCGTCCTTAAATTTCGAAATATCGAAGTTTCAAGCATTTCTGAAATTTACCGTTATATAAAAAGTGGGCGTAATTTTAGTCCGATTTCAATAATTGTCAGCGTTTTGCTTTTATGTGGAAAGCACAATAATCATTCCGAGTTTGGTACATATTGCTCAAACGGTTACCGAGATACACATACGTGGTCATAAGTGGGACGTGTCACGCCCATTTTCCAAAATTTTATCATAAACGTATTTCTTGGTGAAGAATTATTGCAAACATAAATTTTGAATAAATTAGCTTCGGTATTTACTGACTTATCGAAGATTTCGCATTTCTCTAAATTACCGTTATATGGGATGTAGGAGTGGTTATTGTCCAATTTTTAAAATTTTCACTCATTTGGTATGTTATACCAAGGCCAACAAGCGTGCCAAGTTTGTGGGAAATTGGTGTAACGGTTACCGAGATATACACCCATAATGAATGATACGTGATTTTCCAAAAATGTATACCATTCTTATTTTCCGTCTAAAAATCATTGTAAATATCAATTTTGAGTGAATAGGCTTAAGAAGTTATTAAAATATCGCAGTTTTCGTATTTCTGAAAACTACCGTCATATGGGAGGTAGGCGTGGTTATTGTCCGATTTTGCCCATTTTCTATACCACCCGTCCTACGCTGAAAAGAAGTACACATACCAAATTTCGTTAAGATATCTAATTTTTTACTCGAGTTATCGTGTGCACAAACGCACAGACGGACACATGGACGGACAGACAGTCACCGCTCAATCTATTTCTTTTTTCATTCTGATCATTTATGTATACATTTGTCTATATCAATCTTGATTGGTTTTGCCTGTTACAAACAACCGCTATGTGAACAAAGTTACAAAAGCCTTGCGCATAAGTGCGCTCGGGTATAAAAATCAACTGTAATTTTTAGCTACTGCTGAACCCGCATGGCGTTAAGACGCCAAAATTCAGTTTAATATTTTAAACAGATGGCAACACTATTCACAAACCTTAATAAATATTGCAAATGTTTCAGGTAAATTCGTCCATCCCTTTTTTCATTTCCTCAAAATTCAAACCACCGTGCACCGCTAAAAAAGGCCCTAACTTCAAAAAATAAAACCATAATGCCCATTTAGAATGACGGCGCTGATTTGATGACCTTCAAATTAAAGATTATTTATTTATAAAAATTAACTCAAACTAATTTTTTCGGTATATTATGGGTTTATTCGAAAGAACATATATTCCCATTAGTTATGGAACCCGATTTCATCATGTGACTGTCTTCGCTGTAGCGCATCCTGTTAATCGAGTTCTCCAAGACCTTGTTGATGGTTTCTGGCTCTATCGTAAGAAATGCCGGACATACGCCTTAAAGGCCTGAATCGTTAATAGATTGTTCGCATTACATCGGTCCTTCACGGCATGGCACAAAAAAGTCTAAGGGCGTAAAATCGTGGCTCCGTGGGGGCCAATTGACTTCATCGAGACAGCTGATCACTCAAAATAAAAATCGAAAAGATGGCAACCCTAAAAAAATATTTTCAAACTAAAGTTTTATTAAAACTTTCTTTTGCCACTCATATTTTAATATTTGATTAAAATTGTGTAAAAGCTAAATAAATTAGGCTTTTCAAACAGGTGGCAACCTTCTGCGAAACATTTTCAAACTTAAATCTTTTAAAGCTCTTTCGTCTGATACTTTGATACATAATTCAATTGCCTGAAGAATTAAATTGAATTTAATTTTTTTATCACCTGGCAAGTCTCCTAAACAGTTCATATATAAATCCTCAAACCCATGAACGATTAAATCCCCTCTTTTAGTAATTTATTAAGAAGCAAAGCTTTTAATAACCATTTCGACTGACACCTATGGCAACCCTTTTGCACATCTGCAACCAAGCCTTTTAATTTTACACCTCATTTTTGAAAATCGAGCGAAGGATGGGGATATGATGGTATTGATTTATAAATAATCTCAACTTGATTTTTTAAAAGGTGGCCATTCTTTCCGGAAAATTAAAAGCCTACTGCACATCTACATATCAAGCCCTTTAATTTGATACCTAATTTTTTAAAATCAAACGAATGGTTCAGATCTGATGACCTGGACAAAAAGTCCTTTCGCGTATTATATATATAGATATAGTAAAATTCAACTTTTTGAACAGATGGCAACTTTTGTGAAAAGTAGTTTCGCGCTAAGATATTCGTAAATATTCTTCGTCTAACATTGCGATACATATTTTAATCAACTGATGAATTCAGTTGAACTATATTAAACATGTGGCAACTCCGCTAAATATAGTTCATATTTTAATAATTCATTTAACTTATTTAATAATTTGAATTTAATTTTTAAACAGGTGGCAACCCCCTTAACACGTACCTTCAAAAATATTTTGTGTGTTCAAACTAAAGTGTTCTTAATATTCTTTCGTTTCACATCATTATTTTGACATTTCATATAACTTCTGGATAAGTTAATTACATTCGACATTGCAAGAAGGTGGCAACCCTCTTCAAAATATTTTCAAACGGCCACCTTCTGAAGCCCCTTTCGTTATGCGCCCATATGTTGAAAAATATTTCTCCTAATTAATTTTCTCATTTCAAATTGAATTTAATTTTTTAAACCTCCTAAAGTTAAGTTAAGAAACAAATATTTTCAAAACCCTTTCCACTGATACCCATTTTGTAATAATTGATTTTTTTTAGATAATTTGAATGACATTTTTTAGAAGGTGGAAACTCTTAAAAAAAGTGAAACCTTATTGCATACCTGCAGTCCAATAGTTTTAATTTGACACCTTATTTTGGAAAATGAAACGAACGGTGATGTTATGACGGCATTGCTTATTATATAGTTTATATTCAATTGTTCTATTCTTTTGAACTTAATTTTTTAAAGGTGGCAACTCTTTTCGAAAAAGTTAAGCCTTATAGCACACCTAAAGTTAGAGCTCTTTGATTCGACACCTCACTTTTGAAAATCGAACGAACGCAATATTTTATCAGGTGGCAACTCTTTTCGAAAAAGTAAAACCTTATTGCACATCTACAGACAAAGCGCTTTAATTTGAGATCTCATTTTTGAAAATCGGGCGAACGGTACAGATCTTTTATGCTGCACAAAAAATCCCTTCGCGTATTATATACATATATAGATGTTTCTCTTACAGAGTTGAATGCAATAATGCGTGCTAATGCTAATGACCTACTCACAATAGACGCATAAAACCATTACCATGTTGAGTAGAAGTTTACAGGTTGAAAAGAATAACTAATAATAATTGTAGAAAATACGCCAGAAATACGCCTTTCGCAATAATGAACTGGTGGCATTACCGTTTAGAAATAAGAATAATAATAAAATGGCACCAGTTCACTTCTGAAACTGCTTTTTAATGTCCAAGTAATGGGAATTATTCCATATGGTGTTATTGTATCCACCCCACCCATCAATGTGAATTTATACAAGGTGGTGCTACTCTGAATGTCAAATAGATGTGTTTGTTGTAATATGAATTCGAAACACATCATTTTGACATTCAGAAGGACCGCGGCGAAAATCCAAATTCGCCAGTAACACCACCTTGTATAAAAAGGCAGCTGAATGTCAGAAAATAAAGCGAGAAAGCTGTTTTATTACTTCACCTGTTTATTGCGCCATGGTTTCATGCAAACATTTTACGGGTTTCTAGCAATGTTTTCAACATACTAAAAAGCATGCAGACGAAATTCATTCCGTCAGTAAACTGTTTTTATTACAAATAGTATAAATAAGCAATGAGAAATAAGGCGAAATTTGTTTTATTTCCAACCTTCATTGCCTGCCGAGGTGCGACCGCTGTAAGAAAAAAACGGTATCTAATTAAGGTGTTGCCGGGACCAGGGATCGAACCCAGGCCCTACGGAGTTATAGTACGCCCCTCTAACCAGTCACAGCAGCTGCCTGAAATGCTAAATTAGAGATAAATGCTATATCTCTCCAACCTTGTTTTCCAACACTGGCATAAATTCTGTCGCTAGCTAAATTTAAGAAGAAAATGAGTCATAACTTAGAAAATGAAATCTGCTTAGGCAGTTTTTTGCAGAGTTGCTACAACTCAACACCAATTGAAACTTGCCTCTTCTCTATTTCAGGTACCATTCCTTTAATCGAAGACTTTAGCGATGCACGCAATTTGGCGACTCTAGCCGCCTTCGCTTCGTTGGGCGCTATTACCTGGTATGCTTGCACAACCCGTAATTTAACTCGATCTCGCGTGCTTTTGATGAGTCTCGCCTGGCTGGCATTGCCATTTGTGCCCGCCTCCAATCTCTTCTTTCCAGTTGGCTTTGTAGTGGCCGAGCGTATACTCTACATGCCTTCTATGGGCTACTGTTTATTCGTGGCCTACGGATACGTACAATTAGAGAATTATCTGAACGGTAAANATGTGCCCGCCTCCAATCTCTTCTTTCCAGTTGGCTTTGTAGTGGCCGAGCGTATACTCTACATGCCTTCTATGGGCTACTGTCTATTCGTGGCCTACGGATACGTACAATTAGAGAATTATCTGAACGGTAAAGTGATCATGCGCCGTTTAATGCAACTGTCACTAAGTTTGTTGTTGCTCACGCATGCGCTCAAAACACATCACCGAAATATGGATTGGCGTACAGAGTACACGCTGTTCATGTCAGGAGTTCATGTAAATAGCAGAAATGCCAAACTCTTTAACAACGTTGGTCATGCGCTTGAAAATGAGCAACGTTATGCGGAGGCCTTGCTGTATTTCCAGCAAGCGGTGCAAATACAACCGGATGATATTGGCGCGCACATCAATGTTGGACGTACCTACAACAATATGCAGCAATACGATCAGGCCGAGGTGGCATATCGCAGGGCCAAGTCTTTATTTCCGCAAGTGAAACCCGGCGAAATTTACCAAGCACGCATAGCACCCAACCATTTGAATGTGTTTATAAATCTAGCACAACTTATTGCGCGTAATAGCACGCGACTTGAAGAGGCCGATCTGCTGTACCGCCAGGCAATCAGTATGCGCGCCGACTATGTACAAGCGTATATTAACCGCGGCGACATACTGATGAAATTGAATCGCACCGCACTGGCGCAAGAGGTCTACGAGAAGGCGTTATTGTACGACAGTGAGAATGCCGATATCTATTACAATTTGGGTGTTGTTTTCTTGGAGCAAGGTAAAAGTGCGCAGGCGCACGTCTACTTTAACAAAGCCATCGAATTGTATCCGGAACATGAACAAGCCCTACTCAATTCCGCCATACTTCTACAGGAGCACGGCGGTGCAGAAGCGCGTGAGTTGTCGCGTGCGCGCCTGTTCAAGGTGCTAAACAAGGATGCGAACAATGAGAAGGTCTATTTCAATTTGGGCATGCTGGCCATGGACGAATCGAATTTTGAAGAAGCAGAACAGTTTTTTAAGCGAGCAATACACCTGCGTGCTGATTTTCGCAGTGCACTTTTTAATTTGGCGCTACTCCTAGCCGATGCCAATCGGCCGTTGGACGCAATCCCGTACCTGAATCAGCTAATACGTCATCATCCCGAACACATTAAAGGTTTGATCCTGCTCGGTGACATTTACATAAATCACATGAAGGATCTAGATGCGGCTGAGCAATGCTATCGCAGTATACTTCGTTATGAACCGCACAACATACAGGGTCTACACAATTTGTGTGTAGTATTTGTGGAGCGCAAGAGGTTGGCGCGTGCCAATGCGTGTTTGCGTTTTGCCCATCATTTGGCGCCACATGAGGATTATATTCTTCGTCATTGGCAAATTGTACAGCAGCGCCTTCAGAAGATAACACAGTTACCTGAAACGTCGCTGGAGCGACAAATTGCCTATGCTGACTATCAACCGGACGAGTTTAAGGTGATAGCAACGAAAGTGGACAGAAAGGAATATGCAAGTTTACAAGAAGAAAATCAGCAAAGGCAACAACATCGGTAGAAGCAAGCAGCAGATAATTATAGATATATTATACTGAGTAAGTTTGAAGAATACATGTTTATTGATAATGCCATAGAATTGTCGTATTTAAGAGAGAGTTAAGATACTTAAATGTAGATATAAGTTTGAGTGTATTGTGTATGCGTTGTTGTGGGATTGGGGACCGTCTATAAAATTAGCAATTTGTACGATTTGATTTAAAGTGAACCATTTTTCTTATGATTCACCGCAGTTCATTTTCTTTAAGGTCGTAGGCCGAGATCTTTACATAAAGTTTTTAAATATCTACGTAAAATAAATACATATAAAGACAGGATAACTCATTTGATCATTCTCCAAAAAACAAAGCTCCAACTTCTTTATTTTCCTATTGATTACTTCATTTATTTACGGATATTTGTACATTCGTCTAATTTGGACTTTTTTTCTTTGTATTTTCGGTTTTAATGTGTAGATTTTGTTGCTATCAAAAGAACAAGAGTCATGAAATTTTCCCACACTTTATTTAAAAAAAATTTTCTTAAAATTTTAAGAGGTTTTGTCCAATTAGTCCATCAAATTGCTTGTTTGCTGTTGTTGTTGTTGTTGTAGCGGCTACAACAACCCCGCCCAGATCGGTTGGTATCTCAGTCGTTGTCGTCAAGTTCCACTAACGGCAACCCTAGGAAGCGTGCAGCTTCTGCGGGGTTTGCCCATAAGGACAAGGTCGTTAGGGATGTCGGGTTTGCCGGGCATGCGAAGAGATGTTTCGAGTCATGTGGGGTCTCTCCGCATGCCGGACATTCATT